CCTTTTATGAGCGGTCCCCAGGTGAAGGAGGAGGGAGATGCTGTAACTATTGCTGCTGTGGTTCCCCCTCTTCTCAGGATGCTCTGATGAGCTGGTCCCCCATTTGTGGGCTTAAAAGCCAGGGCTCCCTTCACTGGGACAATCCAAGTTCAAATTCAGAGCCTGCAGCCTTGAGACCTTTGGACAAGTCGCTGAACGTCACTGAGTGCTGGTTTCAGTTTTTTATTGTTGTTGTAACAGGAGTCCTGGTGTAGCACTGTAGGATCAGCACTGCATTACTAATCACAAGGTCAGCAGTTCAAAGCCACCAGGTGCTTCTCAGGAATCCTATACAGCATCATTAAGAGTTGGAACCCACTCTTAACACTTTTAACAATAGTGATAATACCACACGTGGGTGGCTTGAATGGACTGAAATTTCGTCTCTCACTATTTGTTGTTGTTGTTGTTGTTAGGTGCCGTCAAGGCGGTTCCAACCCATAGCGGTCCTATGCACAACAGAACGACACCACCTGGTGTGGTACCACCCTCACAATTGCCATGCTTGCGCCCATTGCATCTGCCACTGTACCTATATAGTTCTCACAGTTTGCTGTTCAGATCAATAGCGACCCTGTATAGGGTTTCTGAGGAGCGGCTGGTGAGTTTGAACCACCAACCTTGTGATCCAGTGCTTATCCCACAGCGCCACACCAGGACTCTGCATTTAGGAGGCTACAAGTCCAAGTTCAGAGCGCTGGCTCTGAGGAAGGCTCCTTTCTCTCGGCTCTGGAGGACAGTTCTTGCTTCCTTTAGACATTTGTGGTCCCGGAGTTCTTGGAAGATCTCCCCATGGTCATTCTCTCTTCTGCCCTCTGTGCCTAATCTCTGTTCACAGCTCAAAAGCAAGTAGATTTAAGACACACTCCACACTGACCTGGTCTCATTGACCTTACAAAGAAAAGCTCAGTCCCAAGTGGGATGGCATCCACAGGTTTGTCGCTGTTCTGACTCACAGCCATGGTAGCACTGTAGGATCAACATTGGACTGCTAACCACAAGGTCGCCAGTTCAAACCCACCAGTTGCTCTGTGGGAGAAAGGTGAGACTTTCTGCTTCCATCAAGATTTGCAGTCATGGTAACCCAATACAGCAGTGGTGTGGAATATTTATAACATCGTTCACAGGCCATATTAAAAGTTAGCGTGCTATATTTGGTCAAAGATTTAATGAAGTCACCAGCAGCATCTCGGAAGCCCTATGCAGGGTTGCTATGGGTCGGAACCGACCCGACGGCACTTCACAACAACAACGTGATGGCGTGGCACTGTGGGTTAATGCACTGGACTGCAAGGTCAGTTCGAATTTCAAGTGGTTCAAACTCACCAGCTGCTTCTCGGAAGCCCTAACGGGGTCGCTATGAGTCGGAACTGACTGAAGGGCACTTAACAACATGGCTGGAAATGCGGTTGCCTTGGCAGGACCAGACCAGATGATTTCAGGGGCCTTACACGGCCGGATCCGGGCGTGTCCCACCCTTTCTGAGCAGGGTTGCTATGAATCAGCATTGACTTTCTGGCTGTAGGGAATGTTGATGAAACAAGCTCACCACGTCTTTTCTCTCTTAGACCCACTGAAGGGTTTGAACCAGCAATCCTCCAGTTAGGAGCCAAGCGCTTGTCCATTGTAACACCAGGGGGGGCCTTGCCACATGAAAACCACATACATGGAGGCTACGATTCCCACATCTGGGGCCCCGATTCATTTCATCTCAGTATCTGCGTCTTTATTTGCAAAATATGAGTGATGATGCTTAGTTTGCAAGACTGTTTTGGGGATTGCAAGAAAAGTATGTGGAATGCCTGGTACAGGCCTTGCTGGGTCAGGTGACTGGGCTTCTTATCGGCCTTAGGACCGGGGTCATGATTTCCAAGACTGGCTTCATGTGTGATCAGAGCCAACAATCTGGATGGAGACCCCCACGTGTCTGAAGCTCCCAGACACTGTGCAAATTGAACATTTGCAAACACATCCCACTGACAACCAGTAAGGTTCACCAGGGAAAGACAGACAACCACTCAATAAAAGGAGCTCTGGTAGCGTAGTGTTTACGAATCGGGCTGCGAACTTCAAGGTCAGCAGTTCAAAACTACCAGCTGTTTGGTGGAAGAAAGATGAGGCTTTCTGCTCCCGTACAGATTTACAGCCTCGGAAACCCTATGCAGGGTTGCTATCAGTCAGAAGCGACTCCACGGCACATCACCATCACCACCACCACCACCACCATCACCACCGCCACCACTCAATAAGAAACAAGCAAGCCTGTTAGAAAAAAAAAGACCTGAATTATCTAAGAAATATTACAGCTAAGCAATTTACAACTGGATATATCACAAAAAATCCTCAAACTGGACCAATAAACAACATCATGATCAATGGAGAAGTGATTGATGTCAAAGACTTCCTTTTGCTTGGATCGTCTATCAACACTCATGGAAGCAGGAGTCAAGAACTCAAGCGACATATTGCATTAGGCAAATCTGCTGCACAAGACCTTTTCTCTTTCAAGAGTTTAAGCACAAAGGTGTCGGTTTGAGGACTAAGTTGTGCCTGGTGAAAGCCATAGTATTTTTAATCACTTCATATGCACATGAAGGTTGGATAGTGAATAAGGAAGACTAAAGACATGATGCATTTGAGTTACGGTGTTGGGAAAGAATACTGAAGGTATCATGTACGGTCAGAACAAACCAATCCGTGCTGGAAGATGTACAGCCAGAATGCTCCTTAGAAGCCAGGATGGCAAGACTTTGTCTCTCAAACTTCGGTTATATTGTCAGGATGAACCAGTCTTTGGAGAAGGACATCATGCATGCTTGATAAAGTGGAGGGTCAGCGAAAAAGAGGAAGCCCGTCAAGGAGATGGACTTACACAGTGATTGTACCAATGGACTCAAATGTAACAACTGTGAGGATTAGGCAGGACCGGGCAGTGTCTTGTTCTGTTGTATATTGGGGTTGCTTAGAATCAGTTCGATGGCACCTAACAATAACAGCAATATCACATATTACCTACCCTATGATTAAAATAGATATTACACGTTTTTTTAAGGACCTGAACAGGCTCTTGCTCAAAAAAGAAATCTAAACAAATAGCCAATAAAGTGTTACACCAGGTGTCCAAACTCAGAAGTAATAAACCAATCCCACACCAGTTGTTGCTGAGGTGACCCCGACTCACAGCCACCCCCTGTTCCCGTGTATTAGAGAGGAGAACTTTGTCCTGTGCATTTTCAGTGCTGGGACCTTTTAGAAGCAGATTGCCAGGTTTTTCCTCTGAGTCACCTCTGGGTGGGTTGAAACCATCAACCCTTCGGTGAACAGCCTGGTGCATCACTTTGGTACGGCCCAGGGCACAAGGGAAACAGCTTGAAATCCTAACAGTCTTTGCACGCTCACTGGACTGGAAGAAACTGTCAGGAACAAGTGGCCGACCCAGCAGCCACAGCGAGCAATTCTCGTGAGTCTTAATTTCCTGGAAGAACAGCCACACAAAGCCTGGCTCATTGTGACCCTCACTCAGATTCCTGCTCCAGGGATAGTTAGCAACCAGATTCTGGAAGCCCATTCCCGCAGGAGACCCCTAAAGTCACTGTCCTGAGAATCCTAACCCCGACAGGGCTCTGTCAGCACACGTACCTCAAGCTCATCGGCTGTGGTACGCCCCTGAACACACAGCACAGCTCATCCACAAACACTGCTGAGAACGAAGCCCCGAAACACCGAATCCACCGCCCTCAAGGCAATTCCAATCATATAGCAACCCTACCAGACAGAGCAGAATTACCCCCACAGACTTTCCGTCTTTCTGGAAGCTGACTGCCACATCTTTCTTCCTCGGAATGACTGGTGGGTTAGTCACCTTTTGGTTAGCAGTGATAAACCACCTCCTGAACCTCTCCTGGACCAGAGTCTCCCGGTCTTTGGTGCAAAGGGCGAGGCGCCCTCCTGCTGAGACAGGCTTAGGGCCCAAGGTCACCCAGAGGTACCTCAGAGGAAAGCCCCAGTGATCTACATCTTAAAAATCAGCCAGGAAGACCCAATGGAGTACAGGTCTACTCTGACACATGCGGTCGCCGTTCAAGGCTGAGTCTGGGGTATTTCTGACCCGACATTCCTCATCGTGGCAAACTGGATGTGTTCTCCCTACTGACACAGCTCAGCCCTGACTGTCCCCACTTGGATGTCACGCTGGGCTGCCCTGAGAGAGCAGGTATGAGGGGGACCCAGTGGACAGGGAGCTACCACCGCACTTCTAGTGCCCCCAGTCAGGTAGACGTCACTGGACAGGAAACCACTGTTGGAAGGATGGTCACATCCGAGCAGAGTTCAGCAAATCCACCACTGACCATTCAGCAACATGTGTGCTGCTCAAAGCTGCGACCCCGCCTTGTGTCTGAACCAACTTCTTCTAGTATTTCCCAACACTCACACACTATTTCCTCAAGACAATCTTATGTAAGTGGCTTCGTCTGAACACTTAATCTGTCCAATCAGCTATCACATGATTTAAAACCATTTGCTACAGCTGGACATACTGCAAAATCCTGCAATGATTTGCTGTCATTACCGCCGGATCCTTGAGGGTAGAGTTCAGGAGGCCCTCAAATAATACACACAGCAGACACTTGGCATCGGTATACGAGATTGAAAAAAAAAGGCATTTAGTCAATCCCCCAAAGCCTTTTCTTCTCGGATTGCTAAAACAGAAGGTCTGAGTTTTCCGGCGAGTGCATTAAGCAGACGTTTGATGAAGAGCCACTGCCTCACTTGGTGGTGGATTTCTGGTTTGGACAAAGTCCAGGGAAATGTAATCCATCAACAAGTCTTCACTGACCCAGAGAAACCTAGGTTTCGACTCTGCGGCTTGCCAGATGCAATTCCTGCTGTACATTCTATATCAACACACTGCAGGTAGGAAGGTAATGACACCAAAGAGGGCTCACAGGTGCCCGTCTTACCTGCCTGGCTGTCGCTGGGCTTGCACTGCACTTCCTCAACACAGTCGGCCGGAAACCACCCGATGTGGCCGCGGACACTGCCTTCCCAGAATCCCCCTTCGCCGATGCTCAGCACTACAACAGCAGAAGGGGAAACGCGTTAGGGGACAGGAACACATGTGAGCAGAGGTGCTCCCCCAAACTAGGCTGAAGGGTACCCTCCCTGGAAATCAGAACTTAGCAGCGGTTCTCAGTTCACAGTGTGCCCCAGTCCAATCCGACTGGTGCCCTTTTAAAAGAAGAGACTTGCGGCAGGTTGGAATGATGTGGTCACAAGCCAAGGAGTGCTGGAGCTACCTGAGCCAGAGGAGTCACAGAAGTATCCTTCCCAGCATCCTTCCTTTGCAGGTCAGCAGACACCCTGCACTGAACCATCAGACCACCAGACCAGTGAAAGAATCAATGTCTATTGATTAAACACCCGCCCCCAATTCGCAGTACTTTGTTACGGCACAAAGGAAGAAAGTCAGGCAGGAGAGCCGGCATCAGGCTCCGCCAGTCAAGCCTGCAAAGCAAGAAATACTTGTCCATTTGTTTTCTGATAGCGCCGCAGGCTAAGCGCTGGATTGTAAGGTCGGTGGTTCAAACTCACCAGCCACTCTTCAGGAACCCTGTATAGGGTTGCTATGAGTGAGCTGCACTTAATAACAACAAAAGTGCTCCCTGTGGACTCCTGGTGTGGTGCTGTGTGATCAGCACTGGTCTGCGGTTCAAACCCACCAGCTGCTCCTGGAAACCCTCTACAGGGTTGGTAAGAGTTGGAATGGACTCGACGGCACTGATCAACAACAACAACAACAACAGTGCATCCTGTGTCCCTGGGAGACTGGCCAACTGTCCCTCAGAGACAACAGTGGAGAGGGATGCAGTCACCGTTGTTCGCAGATCACCTATTGGTCAGGGAGGTCAAGGGGACAGACAGCAGGTATGAGACATTCTTCCATCTTCATACCTTTCCCTATATGTCCTAAGAATGCTGTACATGGTTTGCTTGGTCCATTGTTCAGTCACCATGACCTTTGGCTGCACATCAGAAATCCCCTTTGAGAGGGACCTTGTGACCAAACACAGTGACCGTGTCCTACTGGAGAACCACTCTACACACACATCACATAGAGAAGACTGGAATCCGGGGGTCCCATCCACTCGGCACCATACTGGCCTGCCACATGGTAAGCACTCATGAGAAGGCAGGACACAAAGGGTCACCACCTCCCTCAGCATCATTCAGCATGACGCCAACTCTTGGGCCCTGATTTTGACAGGAAATAACCCACCTGACACATTTCCCACCCAACTCCCACTGGGGACATCAAGGGTGAGCTCAGTCGAAACTAGCAATGAGCACAGTTGGCCCCACCCAGCGGGGTGGGAAGGCTGGAGAGTCCACACTCTCTGGATGCTCAGCCAAGAAGACACGCAGCCAGTGACCACTGAGTCCAGTTTGACACATGGCCTGCCCACTGTCGTGCGACCGATGTGCATTTTGAGTCCCTTCTAAAATACAGTTAAGTCCTGGTGGTGGAGTGGCTTATGTGTTCGGCTGCTAACAGCAAGGTCAGCAGTTCGAATCCACCAGCGGTTTGATGGGAGAAAGATGAGACTTTCTGCTCCCATAAAAATGTGGAGCCAGGGAAACTTTATATGGTGGCTGTGTTTCACCACCAAGAACCCATAGCGCTGGTTCATCTTCCAGCACTCTATCAGACAGAATTCTGTTGTGATCCATGGGACTGTCATTGACTGGTTTTGGGAAGTAGATCCCCAAGTCTTTCTTCCTAGTCTGTCTTTGTTTGGAAGTGCCAGTGGTGACCTGCTGGTGTCTGAAATACTAGTGGTGGCAGAACTTCCAGGATCACACTTAAGTCAGTGTTGTACAACCAACAGACAGGCACGGGAGCACACAGTAAGTCTTGATAAACATGACAGATAGACAGAAAAGACACTGGTTTGCTCAGTGTCTGTCTCCTGGGCCCAGGCCCCATGCGTGGGCTCCTTCCTCGCCGGTCATAGGTGTCTTTGCTTTTAGACCTGATTGGTGTGAGCCATGAGGCTCCAAGTGCACAAATGTTTGGAGCCGAGGGCAAAGCAACTGAAGGAAGGATATTTTACTCCTTAGGCCTTTGTGGGAGGCTGGGGGTTCCCCACCAATTGGCTGAGCACCAGAGAAATCAATACTGTCTCTAAACATCTTAATTTCCTTTGAAATGACTCAGGATCTAAAAGGCACCAGAATTCCTGAAAAGCCCAATGACAGCAACATCAGGAAGGCCTGCGCTCCTTGGAAAACGCGTCATGTGAGATCCAAGGAGCAGGTCTGACCCAGCGAGAAAACTCGGAAGGCAGGAAGCGGGAGGAAGAAGGGAGGACAAAGACAAATGGGACATTCAGGGTAGAATGGGAAGAGAGCTGCTGGAATTACAATCAATGCCATGAAACAAAATGTGCAGGAATCCTTGGATGGAAAACCAATGAGCTCTGTAAACCCCCACTCCAAACACAAAATGGTTTTTCTTTGATTTCTCATTTTCATCTCAAAGGCTAGACTCAAAAACAGTGATGAGAAAACACTGGTTTTATAAATTTTTGCTACAGAATTTGAAGAAATGGCTCTAATTGAGAAAGCAGGCCCCATCCCAGTCAAGCAGCACAAATCAATGTCGGAACCTTAAATCAGGATGTTGAGTACAAGTCCTGATTCACAGCTGTGCCTGGACCCGTCCATGCCTTCCCAGCAAAACCCCAAGAACAGACATGCTTTCCTTTCCTCATGGTACCCCGCTTGCTATAAAAGTGCCAGGGATGAAGAGAATTGTCAGGGAAGAACTTGGCATCTTCTTACTTGAGCATCCTTCATGCAACACCAGGGGTAAGCTACCGGATCTCTCTGTGCCTCAGTTTCTTCACTGGCCAGCATGGAGTAATACTTGCTGTGTGTAAAACAGTTACATCAGCTTAGGATCCAATGAGAACGCCATCGCAGCTTGCTGACTTCTTCCCGAACCTGCCTCTTGGGGATCATACCTTCTAGTTCTACATTTAATCTCTATCAAGCATACACTTCTGGGTAGGTTAGGGTTATTATGAGACAGAGAGAAACAACAAAAGTCTTTTTTATAACTGGCTGGAGACAGCAGAGAGGTAAATATAAAGAAGAAAAGAAGATGTATCGGAAGGAAGTACCCAACGTGGGGACCCTTCACAACACGTGGGTGTCGGCTGCATGCAGAGAGCAATAGAAAGAGCGGGATTTCTATAGCGGGATGAGAGGGAGCAGGGGAGAGCTTCAGAGATGGCTCTTGGGTTGGTGGTTGTATCTTTAATTAGTTGGTGATCATCTTTACAGAAGAAAGAGGGCTATGTGGTGTGTGTGTGTTGAATTTGTATTTTATGCTCCAGACTTTTGTTATTGTAAATACCGTGGAGTTGGTTCCGACTCATAGCGACTCTGTACAGGGTTTCCGAGGCTGCAAATCTTTACAGGAGCAGAAAGCCTCATCTTTCTCCTGTGGAACAGCTGCTAGTTCTGAACTGCCAACCTTGAGGTTGTACCCACTACGCTATCAGAGCTTACTGGAGCTAAAAAGACTCTTTAAAGGCCATCTTCCTTCACTCTTCCTTCTTCCCCATCCCTCCCTTCTTTATGATCTGTCTTTCTGGGCAAATGCTGCCCCTTTGATCTCATGTGGTTGGTTTTTCTAAGGAGTGCAGGCTTCCCTCCCTGGTGTTAACTGTTCACCTTCTAGGCCAGTCTGTCACTGACAGTCCAGTAATTCTGGTGCCTTTGGATCCCAGGTCAGACTCTAAGAGTAGACTCCTGGTCAAAAGGGGGTGAGACTGTGGAACAGAATTTCAAATTCTCATGGAATCCAGAGTTTCTGAAGTCACTGAGGCCGGATGAACTACTGCCCTGAGCTAATCTTTAATCCTTAAACCAAAGATAGGCCCTGATGTTTTCTGGAAACCAAAGACCCTAAACACCAAGTCCACGGCTGTCGAGTTAATGGTACCTCATAGCTGTCCTATACGACAGAGACTATAGCGATTTAGAGACTGAAAATCTGGCATACAGGAAGGTAACCACATATGTAAGGGTAAGTCTAAAAGTGTTGCTGCTGCAGACAGTATCCACCTGACCTGCCTTCAATGGCTAGATGATCAGAACTCGAATAGAAGAAGAAAGAAGGGGGGGGGGGAAGAGTAACCCACTAAAATTTGATGAACTTTACCTATATTTATGGATGCGGTTAGTGGTGGTTTTATGCTGTGGAGTCGGTTCCGACTCATAGCGACCCTGCACAGGGTTTCCGAGGCTATAAATCTTTACAGGAGCAGAAAGCCTCATCTTTCTCCCACAGAACAGCTGGTAGTTTTGAACTGCTGACCTTGCGGTTCGCAGCCCGATTCATAACCACTACGCTACCAGAACTCCTTGGTATGGATGTAGTAGCTCTAAAAAGGGAACAAATCTTTACAGCGAGGATCACTCCCACCCCCTCGGTACACAGGGTTGACAGGGATGGGCAACTTAGACACCGGCTACCCAAAATGGGGGGAGGGGGCTACAAAGGCAAGAAGTGACTGGCTTACAAGCTTTCAAGAGGGAGCCTAGATCCAGAGGGTGTGGAGGAAGGTAGAATCTCCACTGAATGGTTTCCAATCTGTTAGGACGGGGCTAATGAAAGGAGATAGGGATAAGACTCTTGCGGTACAATAGTGAATAATTGCTATCAGAACTGACTATGAGGGCTGGAAATGTAAAGGTGGACGTTTTGTAACAAAAGGAGGGGAGTGGTTGACTTTGCAGTCCAGGAGCAGAGGTCCCTGGGACCATGAAGGGAGAAGAGTGGAGTGGGGGAACCCTACCCAGAGAAGCAGTGATGCCCGAAATGGAGGCAGAGACGATGACATGGAGAGATGGAGTGGCTGGAGTCACCGGACTCAGGGAGGGAGAGAGGCTGTGTGCTTACGGTTGGGGGTTAGACTTGTGGGGTGTACCCTTTGGTTGTTTAATGATGCATGGAGGGGATTGTAATCATTGCAGTGAAGCGAAATACAATAGGATGAATGTAAAACTGATGTTCTCCCATATAAACCCACATAATTCGCAATAAAAACTAAATAATATATTGCTGCTAGGATTCCAGCTCATGTCCTCACATCGACTTTGACTCACAGCCACGCAGTATGGGGTTTCCAAGGCTGTAGATCTTTATGGGAGCAAAAAGCTTCATTTTTCTCCCAAACAGCCACTGACTGGTTCAAACCACTAACCTTGCGGCTAGCAGCCTAGTGCTGATCTTACAGCACTGCCAGAACGCCTTTGCTTTAAGGGACAATTTAGGGATAGGCACTATGGGTATGTTGGAGGGAGACCCCACCTTGAGCATCCCTGCAGTAAAGAGCTACAACATCGGAACACAATCCAGAAAGCAAAAGTGGAAGTCGGCAGATTCGGGCAGGAGTCCCGGTGTGGTACTAATGGATAAGCACTGGACTGCTAACCACAGATCGGTGGTTCAAACCCACCTATGAGTCAAACTGACTTGATAGCACTTAACAACAATGGAGTCCAGTGGTGCAGTGGCCTAAGCATTGGGCTGCTAACTGCACAGTCGGTGGTTCAAACCACTAGCTGCTCCGTTAGAGAACCATGAGCCGGTCTGCTCCCGTAAGGATTGGCGTACACGGGGCAGTTCTGCTGTGTCCTCTAGGGTCACCATGAGTTGGAACTGACTGGCCGGCATTGGAGGAAGTCTAACCAGGAGGCAGCGGTTGTTTGGTGGTAGAATTCTCATGTTCCACGCAAGAGACCCGGGTTCGATCACCAACCAGTGTACCCAACACAGCTACCACCCATGTATCCATGGAGGCTAGCATGTTGTCATGATGCTGAGCAGGCTTCATGGAACTTCCAGCTAAGAAAGAGTAGGAAGAAAGGCCTGGCGAGCTATAGCTAAAGCTCAGCCAGTGAAAACTCTGATGCATCACGATGATGTGTCAGATCCACGGGGGCAGCACGAGACCAGGTAGGGTTTCGTTTCATTGAAACCATGCGTTGCAGTTGATTCAAGGGCAGCTGACAAGTATTGTGGACACAGCAAGGTAAGTGATGGAGGGGAAGTCTAGGGCAGAGCCTGTGATTCTCTGCTGGAACCAGAAGGTCATGGTGGTGTTCAAGTTCTCCAGTGGTGATACAACACAAATACCACAGGGGGTGGCTGTAACAAACAGAATTTAATTTTTCACAGCATGGGAGGCTGGGAGTCCAAATTCAAGGTGTCAGCTCTAGGAGTCCTGATGTGGTGCTGTTAGTTAATGAGCTGGACTGCAAAGTCCGCTTGAACCAGGAGGTCGGTGGTTCAAGCTCCTCGGAAACCCTTTACAGGGTCGCTACGGGTTGTCACTCAACAACAACAACAACCGGTTCTAGGGGAAGGCCTATTTTTGCTGTTGGTGAGTCAAAATCTCAATAGTGTAACAGCAAATCTCAGCACATCAAAACAAAACAGAAAAATCCCAACCAACTAAGCAAGCAACTATAAGAAAATTCTAGAACTAACAATATTTCGTTTCTGGAATATAAAAAAGTCACAGGATGGACTTAATGGCTGAAACGACATTCCCAAAGACAGAGTAAGCGACTGCAAAGCTCAGAAGAATTACTAAGGTGGAGACAAACATGAAAGAATGACTGAAACCTCAGGTATTTGACACTCTCAACTGATGAAATATACATGCAGTTGGAATATCGGGAGTCAAGAAAGAGAAGGGGGTTCTAGCTATCATTAGAACCTGACAATAACCCAGGTGAAACTGACCTGAGAGGTGAACCAAGTTAACTACTTGTTCCCCGTTAAATGGTTAGTCAGTGGGAAGGCAGGATTTGAATCCGGCATACCTTCTACCCTGTATCACACATCTTCTGGAAGTCCTTCTTCCAGTGGCTGCCCAGGGCACAGCTGGACACCCAGAGTAGGTCCTTTCTTGCTCTGTCCAGCAGCATGGTCCCGGAGAGCCCACAACTTCCTCTTCTCTAACTTTCATCCCTGTCTTTCAGCACCATAGGTCTCAGCTAGCTCCCGTCCCTGCCAGTCTCCCTCTATGTTCCTCACGTTGTCACGGACTCCTTCTCTCAGAAGTATCTTACAGAGCAGACTTTTCCCTGCACTGTCTGACTCCTCAGTACCTACGGAACGAAGTCTCATTCCTTCCTCTGGCATTCATAGCTCCCATTAGAATGTTTCCCAACTGTATTTCCTAGGATTCTGCTTTGAGAATTCTTCTTCCAAGCCAGAACCCAGTTGACATTTATACAATGAACTGTGCAGTCCTAGCCCTTCAGGCTGTGGTTCCTGCTGGGCCATCCACCTGGACACCCCTCCCTGCTCCTTCCAAGATACCCCAATGCCATGTCTTTGTGAGACTCTCAGGGTAGGGAGTGCTGTGCTCCCTAATGCCCTCACCTGCCCTGCCACCAGCACCCACACAGTGGTACCCCATTACACACCAGTAGGCTCAGGGCAGGGTCACTGGACTGGCCAGCCTTGCCCTGCTCACCATCCCCTTCCACAGGGGATCTTGAGGAGGTGGTGCCTCAGAGTTGGACACTGCCCAGGGGTAAGCAGAGATTGGGGGGCCTGATTCTGCCCCAGACACAGGAAGATGAGAGCAGGTACTGACCTTTGACCCTGTCACCACGGTGCAGGGGGATCTCGCCGTCTACCAGGGGTTGATATGGCTTGATGACGACGAAGAGGCGCCCAGGCACTGCACTGTACAGCTTCCGCTTGGGTCCCGGCTGCTCAAAGGCGGACAGAGGGTCCTTGCTGGCTACAGAAGGGAATGTGGGCCTAGAGCAGAGAAGAGGGCAGGGAGAAAGAGAGAGAGAGCAAGTCACATGCAGAGCAGAGCAGCCTCGCCGAGACTGGTGAGCAGGCTGGAGAAGTGTCTGGTTAAACTCCCCAGGTCTTCATGCTTTCAGTCTAGCCTGAGCACCATCTCACAGCATTAACCAGACCCACTACTGGCCCCCTCACAGCGGCCACCAGAGACGAAGTCCACAGGACTCTGTTACTCATTGCTGTTTCCTGACACGACTTGACATTGAGCACACATTTCCAGACCCCATGCCCTCCCTGAGCCCGACAAGGAGACACAGGAGTTTTAAATTCTGAAATGGCTGCATCGTTTTGATGTGTGGTGAGGGCGGGCTACTCTTAGGGGATAGAGTACTACCCTGGATTGAGTTGTGTTCCCCATTACTCCTTGGCTTGAACCACAAGGTTGATGGTTCAAACTCACCAGCCTCTCTGTGGAAACCCTATACAGGGTTGCTATGAGTCAGAACCAGCTCAATGGCACTTAACAACAGCTCCCCCCAGTATGTGTTGAAATCCTAATGCCTGGGTGACAATGACATTCTGGGTTTCACTATCAAAGACAACCGTAGTTATGATGTTGTTGTTTAGTGCCATTGAGTCAGTTCTGACCTGTCGTGACCCTGTATAGGGTTTCCGAGGAGCGGCTGCTGAGTTTGAACTGCTGACATTGCAGTCCAATCGCCTTTGCAGTTCAGCGCATTAACCCACAGCGCCACACCAGGACTCCTCTTCTGCTATGCTAATAAGGCAACTGCAGCGTAAGGTTGATTCTAACTCTAACCGTTTCTGAATTACAAAATGACCACTATAGACAGGAAGACAAATAGGGAAAGAGGAAGACAGACCATGAAGACAGACGTGCCAACAAGACTGGGAACACCAAGGGTTTCTGGCAACTACTAGAAGCTGAAAGAAACCCTAATGGCATAGTGGCTACATTTTAGGCTGCTAACCAGAAGTTTGGTAGTTCGAACACACCCAATGGGCACTGTGGGAGAAAGCTACTAGTCTGTTTCCATGAAGGTTTCTAGCCTTGGAGACCCTGGGAGGCAGGATTGGCAGGAGCTGAAATCCACTGGATGACAATTGGTTGATGGATACTAGAAACTGAAACAGACCAAAAAAAAAAGCACCTCTCCCTAGGTCCATGAACTGAATTCGTACTTCCAGCTTCCTGATCTGCCAGAGCATGCATTTCTGTCCTTGAAAGCCACACACAATGGTGTCTCGTTAGGGCAGTTGTAGGAGACGAGGACAAGTCTACTCATGTTTTCTTATCAGTGATCATTGGGAGGTTCCATGATTCCTTCTTTTCCCATGATGGGGGTCTCGGGGACAAACGCATGCCCATGAGGAATCTAGTTGGGGATTTGTGAGCACACACTGGCCATGGGACACTGGAATGGGACGCTGAAGTGATGAGGTTCCAAAACCGGAACCACATCTGACTCCTGGGAGAGAAGTGACTTGAACCATGAACTCATGACCACATGGCTAAGTCCAATCAGTTCTCCTGTCCTCCCACTGCAAGGAAGCAGCCAGCCTGGACACATGGAAAACTAGGAGCTGGGTGTGATCACTCACTTCCTGGTGCTTACTAAAGTTCTTCCAACGAACCAGAGTGTAAACGACCAAGCATTCAGCTACGAATCCAGTTTGTCTGCTTGCATATGTCTACAGGTGCCTCTGAAGAAGACCGATGGAGCACTCTCACACTCATGGGGGCTGCGGAGTCTAAGTGAACTCAGGAGCAGTGGGTCTGAGTTTGACTCCCTATGTACCTTCTGTTATTTGCTTAGCTGTGTGTGTAGCCTTGGTAAGTAATAAGTAGCGGGGTTTGGGGCTGATACCAAATTCCAGAAGTGTGGCGGTGCTGTACTTTGCTGTATCTTTACTTTTCTACCAAGCAATGCAATTCTGAGACCACGTTATGGGATCCGTGTAGGTTTGTATGATGATGGACCCATTCCACATCAGGGGAAACGGGGGTTGTGTGAAGAAGGAGGAAAGCTCTGTCAATACTGTTACGTGGGACTGAGTGCTGAAGACCAGGATGCTCAGGAACCCACAGGAGCACAGAGAGGGCAGGAAACTGGTTGGATCACGTGATATTTTGGGGACCAGGTGGGGATGGGGAGCTGGATGCTTATCTGGCTCAGAGAGGTCAGGAGATGCCGTCAGCTGTGAATCCCCCTAGATGGGTGGATGGATGGATGGATGGATGAATAGGTGAGTGGATGGATGGACAGATGACAGATGGATGATGGGTGGTTAGGTGGCGGGTGGATTGATGGGTGAGTGGGTGGGTGGATGAGTGGGTAGATGGATGATGGTAGATCAATAGGTGAGTGGATGGATGGATAGATCAGTGAGTGGATGGACAGCCATGATAGATAGATGGATGAGAAATGGATGGATAGGTGGTGGATGGGAAGATGGGTGAGTGGACAGGTGGGTGGTGGGTAGATGGATGGATGGATGAGTAGACGCATAGATTGATGGGTAGTTGAGTGGGTGGGAAGATGGATAGATGGGTTAGTGGATGAGTGGGTGGGTGAATAAGTGGATGGACAGATTGATGGATAGATGAGTGGTGGTGGGTGGAAGGATGGATGAGTACACGAATAGATTGATGGATAGATGAGTGGGTGGAAGGTGGACAGGAGTGATGGATAGATGGGTCAGTGGATGGACAGACAGATGATGGATGGATGGATGGATGCATGGGTAAGTGGATGGGTGAGTAGGTAGATGGAAGAATGGGTAGGCTAGAGGATGGATGGAGGGGATTGATGGAACTTAACTGAGCACTTGAATGTCCACTCCCAAGTCATGTCATCTATTCCCAGTCTCCCAGGGCTGCTGGACCAGTGACCAGCGAGAGGAGAGTGCTCTGGCTACTTCTTCTCCAGAGGCTAATCCATCAGTTATTGTTACGTTGACGTTAAGTAATGGCAACCCTGTGTGTCAGAGCACAGCTGTGCTCTTCAGGTTTTCAGTGACTGGTGTTTTGAAGTATGTTGCCAGGCTTTTCTTCCAGATGTCTTTGGGTGGACTCAAACCTCCAACCTTTTGGCAAACAGCCATGTCCGCTGTTTGTGCCAAGGACTCCTGTCCAAAGGTTACACCTCAGAAAGTCAGGGAGCCACAGAGAGGAAGAACCATGTGGGTGCCTGCCTGTAAGGTACGAGATAAGAGGAAAGCAAGAGTTTCCTCAAGTCCCAACTGACAGGGCTTCCCGGCAGCCTGATGTGGCACTGCCATGTGCACTGGCCCCCTACCCATCAGTCATTCAGTACACCCCAGGGCACCCTGAGTCAGGGCTGCCTGGGCCCAGCATCAAGAGCTGAGAACCCTCCTGTCAGTTCTAAACATCACAAAGATTGTCACCTTCTCTGCTGCTAGGCAGTGGAGAAAGGAGGGTCCAGTGAAGCAAGGAGACTTGATTCCTCTGAGGGTAACTGAACCCAAGGGTTTGGGGACCCAGAATGGACCCCAGGAGGATAAAACACCCATGGGCCACAATTCCTCCCCTCTCTGGACCGTCATAATCCTGAGTGCTAGAACCTCCCCTGATGCATCACCAACATCCGTCCTGAGTGATGGAGGCAGGAACACTGGTAGTTGGTCAAGAGCATGCATCTGTACACAGACAGAACGACGTTTACTTCCAGGTTGACCTTCCGCTACTGTGTGATCTTGAGAGAGTCACTTAACTTCTCTGGGTCTTCCTGTTCTCATTTGTACAGCTGCAGGAGTCACGCACCACGTGGGGATGTGGGGCAGAAAGGATCTGCACATGTGGCTTATGTGGCAGTTAACATCAGCACCTGAGCACAGATCATGTTGGACGAAGAGTCTGAGAACACAGGACTTTGTCTAAATGACCCCCACGCCCTCTACCCAGCTGGAGCCACAGCGGTGGGTGCTTGGAAAGGCCTGATGCGATAAACCCATCCAGAAACTGTAGGTCCAACTACCTATCATCCTTTGATTTACTTATCCATCCATCCACTTATCTGTCCATCCATTTACTCATCATCTACCCATCTATTCATCCATCCACCTACTCACCTATCTCTCATCCACCCACTCACTCATCAACCATCCATCGATGGATCGATCCATCCATCCAATTATCTGTCCATCCATCCACTCATCATCCATCTACCTACAACTCATTATCCATCCATCCATCCATCCATCCATCCGTCCATCCATCTACTCATCATCTACCCATCTATTCATCCATTCACCTACTCACCTATCTCTCATCCACCCACCCACTCATCAACCATCCATCCACCCATCCATCCACACACTCATCATCCATTCATCCACCTACTCACCTACCTCTTCATCTATCCAGCCATCCATCCACTCACCTGTCTATCCATCAGTAATCTACTCAGCCATCCACCATTCATTCATGTTCCCACTCACCCAGCATCATCTATTCACTCATGCCTCCAGAATTCAGAAGGGCCCTTTGAGAAGCTTGGTAGTCCATTTCCCATCCCATGTTGGACAGGTCGGTTGAACTCTAGAAGCTCTGTCTTCCCATCTCATAAATGGGGTGATCAAGATTGGCCGAGAATGAATCAGTATGAAAACCTCACCACCTCGCCCACGTGTCAACACCCAGCTGATTTAAGCTGGGGCTATGTGCATGTAGATATAGGGTGGAGACCCCACTGACCGGAGCTCGGTTTTGGGGAACTCTTTTTCCATCTGCTCTGAAGAGGTCATGTTTCAGATTCACCATGCCAAAGTCAGAAAAGGGCTTTGCTGAGCTATTCAGATGGGAGCCTCACAATAAACATCAGGGAAGACACTGTGTGGTCTTCCACACATGAACCTCTGGCCTCATTTACATTAACAGTGGTTTCTGTGTAGAGAGATACAGAACCGACCGTCAGATCCTGACTCCCTGACCCCAAGCCCAGGACCCCCTGCTCTACCTGAGATAA